TCCCCCCCGGGCCGGGGCCCCTGGCCTGGCCCCCAGGCGTGTCATCCCCCACCTCTCCAGATGCAGCAGGCTGACCCCGGAGTGCAAGTGAGGAAGACCGTCCAGCATCCAGCCCGCGCCGCCCGCCGCGCTGCGCGCCGCCCCTGGGAGTGCCGCCTCGTGGGAGCGCAGCGATGGGGGGCCGCAGGTGGGCGCGGCGGCACCCTGCGGGCCGGCGGCGCTCATGTGTGATGAGACCTCCCCCATCACGCGGGCCATGATGCAGAGGGAAGCCAGGCGAAGCTGCAGCACCTCCCCCTCGGCTGCGGCCGCGGCCGCCTGGGGAGGGAGGGGGACGCAAGAGAGACGAGAGGCGAGTGTTGGGGAGCGCCGGCGCTTTGGGTGTCAGTGCTACAGTCCTCGCTGTCGGCGCTCAGCAAACGCGGGGCGCAGCGGGGGGGGAGCATGACATGGCCGGGCGGTGGGGGTAGGGTGTGGGGTTTGATCGTGGCGAGGTGAGGCGGGGAGGGGAGGCGGGACGGCAGGCGGCAGAGTGGCTGGCCGCGCATAATCCCGCTAGGAGGATTAGTGCATACGCGCGCGCGCCCATCATGGCCAAAGCGCCGCGCGCACCTGCGCATGCTTCCGCGCCAGAATTTCTTTGAGCTGCAGCACCGTCCTGTGCATCTTGGCGGCCGGCTCAGCGGCTTGCGCCGTGGCCGTCGCCGCGTCCTGCGCCCCTCCCGCCAGCATTGGTCGCGCGCACTGCGCAAGGGGTGGCCCTGGGCAGCACCGCCAGGACGGGAGCTGAGTACGACTCGCGACTAACAGACGGGCTAGTTTGATCCTATCGTCGCGCTTGAGGAAGGAGGACCTTTGCTCTGGCAAACCCTTCCGAGACGCGGGGCGGGACGACGTGCGTTGTAGGTCGGTAGCCTAGGATAGGATCCTGAATAACGTTTGAAAGATTTGATAACTAAAATCAGCGTTAAGTATATATCCGTGACGGGGCCACGTTCACTTTGCTGGTTTAGGCAGGTCGGCTGGAGTTGGAACCACTACGGAACGGGCGGAGCGCGCACAGCAGGCAGTGGGTTACGCGTGGGCAGGACATACCTGGCGCCCCTCCGCAGACCCTAATCCTCAAACGTAACTCATCAACCGCGCCACAAACGCAGCCGGCCAGCCGCCGCGCCGAGTGTCACCCGTCCTGTCGCGGCGGATAATGCGCTGGTCACGGATTACGGCCTGCCTCCGTGGCTGCCTGCAGCAGCGCCCCCCGGCACCCCCGCTTCGCCCCGCCCCGCCCCGCGCGGCGGGGCGCAAGGAGTGGCCCCATCTGGCGGCGGTGACCCCCCGCGTGCGCCCCTGTGCTGACCGTGACCGTGCCAGCGGCGCCCAGTCCCCAGGGACGCGCCCGCACACTGCCTCTGGCTGCGGCCCCTGCCACTACCCATGCGCAGGCTGGCCTGCCCATGCGAGCACCGTTCGGCCCCCCTTTTCTGTGGTGCGCGATCGAAGGTCCCTCTGCCCCCGTCACCGCATCGAGGGGCGCAATTACTCTCCTTGGGCTGCCTCATATCAGTTCTGTTTGCTACTTCCCTCCGCCTGCCTTAGTGCACTCACCCGCGTCTGATCCCGACCCCCCACCCCACCCCAGCGCGAGGCAGCGCCGCGGCACCGCGCCGCGCTGCGCGCGTCCTCCCGTGCCACCCCCATTGATGTCCACACGTGCGCTGCCTTTCAATTCAAAACACAGCCCGCCTCGCAGCCAGCTGGCATGGGGGGCGGGCTGGTCGCGCAGCACGCCCCCCATGCCGAGGGGCCGCAGCCGCGCCCCGCCGCCGCGGCCTCTCGCAGCGCAGCTCTTAAGATCTCATCCCTCCTTCACTGCCCAACACCGCCCACCCCAAAGTCGGCTCTGTTTCAGCATGCACGCCCGCGCGCGCGCGCTGCCCCGCCGCTGCTCCCCACACGCGGCCACGCCCGCACCGCCCGGAGCCGACGCCGCCGCGCGAGGGAGGCGTGTGTTACACGTCTGCGAGGCCACTGGCTCGCCCCAGGCTTTCAGGAGGGGCGCCATGCAACTCCAAGCCTGCGGATCTACCTGGCTGGGGTGCGCGCAGGCCAAGCGGAGGGCACCGGGTGCAAAATCATGCAAGAAACATGCGAGAAAAGCGCACAGGACCGGTCCCAGCGGCGGAGGGAGTAGGGCGGAGGCCAGCGGAAGCCTCGGCATGCATGCCTGTGCTGAGTGAGGGCTGGATCCGGCACACACCGCCTGCTACCGAGGGCCACCGTCCGCCACTGCCGCCGCCTCGACGGCGGCGGACGGAATGCCGCCCTCGCCGCCGCCGCCCGTCCCCGCCTCTGTCGCCTGCTGCTGCTGCTGCTGCTGCTGCTGCTGCTGCTGCTGCTGCTGCTGCGGCTGCTGCTCTGCCGCCAACTGCTCCGCCCCGCCGCCGCCGCCGGCCTCGCTGCCGCGCCCCGCCC